CGAGCCTGCAGGTGTGTCCTGTTTGGCCGCGCCGTGTTGATGAAGAAGTTTGAATCAGGTGCTGTCCCAGAGTCTGGGTCCAGGGCTCCATGGCATCTTGTACATGATGCACATTTGGCTGCGGGGTCTGCTGAGCGCACGGCTCCTCTCCCGCAGCGCCCTACACCATCATCACCTTCCCCTTCCTCTTCGCCGTCATGTTTGGGGACGTGGGCCACGGACTGCTCATGTTCCTCTTCGCCCTGGCCATGGTGCTGGCTGAGGACCGGCCGGCCATCAAGACAGCGAAGAATGAGGTAAGTAAGAGCAGCGGGAGTGGGGGGAAAGGCTGGCGGGGGGAGGGGGGTCCGGGCCTTGTCTCAGCCCTCCCCCGCCCCCCCCAGATCTGGCAGACCTTCTTTGGTGGCCGCTACCTGCTCCTGCTCATGGGCCTATTCTCTGTCTACACCGGCTTCATCTACAACGAGTGCTTCAGCCGTGCCACCGTCATCTTCCCCTCGGGCTGGAGCGTGGCCGCCATGGCCAACCAGTCTGGCTGGAGGTGAGGCCCACCGTCGTCCCCACTGTCCCCGGGTCCCCGCCGCCCTGCCCCGTCCCCACCACCTTGACCGCCCTGCCTGCTGTTGCCACAGTGACAAGTTCCTGGCCAACCACCCCCTGCTCTCTCTGGACCCCAACATCACCGGTGTCTTCCTGGGACCCTACCCCTTCGGCATCGACCCCGTGAGTCCTGGCTGCAGGCCAGCAGGAGGGCAGCCCAGTTCTGGTGCCGGATGCTCGGGGCCCCAGACGGATGAGGGGCCTCCTTGCCGGGCGCTTCCTGCAGCCACAAAGCAGAGAGGCTGTCAGAGTGATGGCAGCCCTGGGTCACTGTGGAGCCGCCTCTGTGCCGGGCGCTGCTCTGAGCCCTGTATGTGCAATGACTATGTTTCATTTCTGTGACAGCTCCACGACGCGTCCCTTAGCATCCTTCCCATTTTACAGAGGAGGCAGCTGAGGCACAGGAGAGTACCCAGTTAGGAAGAGCTGGGGTTGGCCCTGGTTGTCTGGCCGTGTCTGTGCCTTAACCAGTGCGCCCTGCTGCCTCTTGGGGGGCAGGTGGCAGATTGTGCTGAGGCCCTAAAGGGGACAAACAGGCTGGTGAGAGTGACGCGGGCAGGGAGGCCCCTGCATGACACCTGTCCCTCCTGCCACCCCAGATCTGGAGCCTGGCTGTCAACCACCTGACCTTCCTCAACTCCTTCAAGATGAAGATGTCCGTCATCCTGGGGGTCACCCACATGGCCTTCGGGGTGGTCCTCGGAGTCTTCAACCACATGTGAGGCCGAGGCTCTGGTGGGGGAAGTGGGAACTGCGGGGCCAGGGTGGTCCGGTGACTTGGCCCTTGTCCCACCCCAGACACTTTGGCCAATGGCACCGGCTGGTGCTGGAGACCCTGCCGGAGCTGGTCTTCCTGCTGGGCCTGTTCGGCTACCTGGTCTTCATGGTCATCTACAAGTGGCTGCGCGTCTCGGCTGCCGGCGCCGCCTCCGCCCCCAGCATCCTCATCCACTTCATCAACATGTTCCTCTTCTCTCGCAGCCCCACCAACCGGCCACTCTTCCCCGGGCAGGTGGGCTGGGGCGGGAGTGGGCTCACCCCCCTCAGCGGCCCCTGGTCACTGGGCCACTCAGGGTGGTCGAGTCCTCATCTGAGAAACAGGGATGCTGGCCCGAGCTGTGAGATGCGGAGGTCCAGGGACAGTGGGAGGCTCCCAGCGAGGTGGCACACAGTGGGTCCCGGAAGCCTGTCCCCTTCTCGCCGAGGATTCCTTACGCAGTGATGTCCCTGCTTAGGGAGGGGACCCGGGGGAGGAGCAGACTGTAGGCTCCCTGGGTGTGTGGCTTGCAGGGACAGCCTGACTCGGCCCCCTCCCCTGCAGGAGGTAGTGCAGTCTGCATTGGTGGTCCTGGCCCTGGCCACAGTGCCCGTCCTGCTGCTTGGCACACCCTTGTTCCTTCGCTGGAATCACCACCGTCACTTGAGGCGTGCTGGCCAACTGCAGGTAGGGGGGTGCTGTAGGGAGGTGGGGCCGCTGCCAGCCCGAGACCCACCTTGCTCCTCTGAGTGGCTGTGTGCAGGCAGTAGGGGCAGTGTGGGCCTGTCTGGGTGGGTCCGCTGACGCTGTCTACACCCCGTCCCAAGGATGAGGTCAAGACTGGGCTTCTGGACTCGCCCGACGCTAGGGGCTCTGATGAGGAGAAGGCGGAGCACCCAGGGGACCAAGAGGAAGCCAAGGTGGGTGTGGTGCCTTCCTGAGTGGGGGGTAACCGCTGGCCTGGCCCGCCCCTTACTATCCCCCCTTCCCGCCCCCTCAGTTTGTGCTCTCTGAGGTGTTCATGCACCAGGCCATCCACACCATCGAGTTCTGCCTGGGCTGCATCTCCAACACGGCCTCCTACCTGCGCCTCTGGGCCCTGAGCCTGGCCCATGCCCGTGAGTGACCAGTGTGGTGGGTGGCCCGGCCACGGTTAAGTCCTGGCTCCAGCTTGCACACACAGCTGCTGGCTGGGTGGCCTGGGCGGGTCACTTCTCTGGGCCTCAGGGTCCCCTCTGTAAAGTGGGCTTCAGGCTGCCGAGGATGCGGGGTGGGCACCCCTGGCCCCTGGTCTCCACTGCCCCCTCTTCACCCACAGAGCTGTCAGAGGTCCTGTGGGCCATGGTGATGCGCATAGGCCTGGGCATGGGACGAGAGATGGGTGTGGTGGCCCTGGTGCTGGTCCCTGTCTTTGCCGCCTTCGCCGTGCTGACCGTGGCCATCCTGCTAGTGATGGAGGGGCTCTCCGCCTTCCTGCACGCCCTGAGGCTGCACTGGTGAGCGGCCCACCCAACTGCTGGGCGGCTCGGGGCAAGGCCAGGCCTTCCCTTCACCAGCTCTCCCTTCTCACTCCAGGGTGGAGTTCCAGAACAAGTTCTACTCAGGCACTGGCTATAAGCTGAACCCCTTCACCTTCTCCATGGAGGACCAATAGCGCCCACCTGTGGCCATGCCAGCGACCCCCCCCCCCCCCCCCCCCCCCCCCCCCCCCCAAAAACCCCCCCCCCCGCCCCCCACCTTGCTGAGTGAAGCAGGAAAGGAATAAAGAGGAGGAAGTCTCAGGACTGTGTCTGGGTCCCGTCTGCAAAGCAGGGGCTGGGGAGGCTGGTGTGGCAGAGCCTGGGCCGTGGCAGAGCCTGGGCCGCGCCAGAACGGCAGGACTCTGGGCTGTGGGCGTGGGCTGGTCCTGCCATGAGCCTCTTTTGGTTTCGTGGACCCCATGGCAGTCTCTACGCCTGTCTCTTACATCCTCCTTTGCAGCTGTGGTGGGAGGCACCGGCCCATGACCAAGGGCCTTGAGAAGTTGGGGAGAGGGCCCATGAGCCCATCTGTAATAAGCCCAGACTCGGGTGGACCAAGGAGGGATGTTCCCTGCACATTCTAGCTCAGAATCAGTGTCTTCCCATGCTGGGCCAGGGGGAGTGAGCTTCCCATCCCTGAGGGTGTGCAAACTGGCTGTAAGAGAATGTTGGGGATACCCTGGGTGTGGAGGGGGTGCCTGGCATGAATTGGCCAATGTTCCCATCCCTCGTGCTGGGACTGGACCCAGGCACTCCATATGGGGCGAGCAGTGGTGTCGTACACCAGAGGCCACCATCCTGCGGGGAAGGGCAGAGGCTGGCCAGGACAGCGCCAAGCGTCAGTAAGGGGGCGCAGCCAGACTCTAGGCCCTGTCTCCCCATTCCGGGAGCTTTGGCCTTGCCTAGCTTCCTCGGCAGCCAGACCTGCTCCCTGGAGGCTGTCCTTTAGCTGGTGGGGCGGGGGCCCCTGTAGCTTCCTGGCCTGGATCCCACCACTGGGAGGCCGAGCCAATGCTTCCCAGAGGCCTCTCTCCAGCTGGACGGCCTGGAACAAAGGCCGCTTTGAGGCTAGACACCCTGGGCGCAGGGAGCCCGGGGACCTGGCCCCATCGCTGTGCCTCTCATCTGGCCAGCTGCCAGGAGCCTGTCCCTTGGGTCCAGGACTGTCCCTCAGGGGCTGTGTGGCAATCCCACGTGCCTGGCAAATGTGGCTGAGAAACGATGATGGCCGTGTCTGGTGAGGAACAGAGGAAGCTGGTGTGTAGGGGACTCGGGCTGTGAGTGTAAGCCCAGGCCCCAAGCCTTACACCTCCCTGGGGAGCAGAGCTGGGCAGACCTGCAGGGTGGGGGTGGTGAGAGGGACCCTGACATGCTCGGAGCTAGTGTGTGTTTTGTGAGGAGGCAGGTGTGGCCTAGGGAGACACTTGCTGGCTGACATGGATGGCTGGGAGCCTGGCTGGAGGTCTGGTTGCCATGGGCCAGCATATGCAAAGGACTGCACTGGGCACTCCTGGGGCAAGGAGGTCATCAGGAGACACAGGGACAGTGGGTCACCTACACTGTGGACAGGCCTGATCCCTGCTCGGTCTAAAGCAGGAGACACCTGAGTGAAGACGTCAATTTCAGGAAAAGACGCGTGTGGTGAGTAAGAGGGATGAGCCAGGGAGGCTGTGAGTGAGGGTGGTCTCCAGAATGGCACTGCATTCTTCGCTGATGTGAAGAAGCCCATCATCTGAAGACCTGGCCCCCTAGCATCGCAGCGGGAGAGGCGGCAAAAAGCCTGGCATGGTGAGGAGAGGAAGGCTGGAGGGGAGTGGGGACGAGGCCGGCCCAGGTGACCGCCTGGCCTTGTGGGCCCAGGAAGGAGTTGGAACCAAGGTTTTAAGTGAGCTCTCACGCAGCTCAGTATCATTTATTGCTTGAACATCAAAACACATTTCCCTGGTTAAGTTTTAAATGTCTACAAGGTGAACAGTGGGAAGTCTCCCCCTGCCCTGGCCCAACCTCCCAGTGACTGCGCTGCTGTGTCCCCTCTATGCCCGTGCAGCCTGCACGCCAGGAGCAGACGCCGGTGCACGTACTGGTGGGCCGCCGTCGCATGACTCAAAGGTGACAGCTGAAGATGGGGTTTTATTTTTTTATTGTTTGTATAGTACAATCTCTGTGGTAGCAGAACTGTATGCACAGAAATAATTCAGTAAGAGTTCAGGTTTAAAAAATGTATCCCAAAGGATATTTAACATATACAAATTTCACAGCTATAGTCTACCCACGCCCCACATGTCACACACAGGCTGGTCCCACCGGAAGGACACTGGGGCGTCAGAGCAGTGAGGGTTGGCCACCGAGAGCCCCAGCCAGGGTTTCTGCTCCTGAGGGGCCCTGGGGCAGACAGCCCTGTCACAGAACGGTCAGCTCCAGGCTGCAGTCATGGAGGAGAAAAGGCGGCAGGGAGGGGACAAAGCCCCTGGTCCCCACGGGAGGCAGCTGGGAGGCAGGGGCCTGCATACCCCCACGCTGCCCTTGCCCGCCGTGGCCCTTCGAGGCAGAGTTAATAAAGCAACATTCAGTGAGGAGGGCAAGGCAGAGGCTACACCCACTTAGGGAGAGATCTGTCCGTACAACTGAACACACGACAGGTACCAGGAGCTACATTCATCGCACGGAGACAGCAGCTGGCGCCCGCCGTGTGCATTCTGCTTCCTTGAGCTTCAGCCTTTTGGACCAGAGGGTGAAGGAACAGCTTCTGGAGACGACTGGCAGGCCACGAGCGGCATCACGGTCTGCCTGTCCCTCGTCACCCTCAGGAGTGAGCAGTGTCTACACACGTTACCTACAGAGAGCCGGTACAGTGCTCACCAGCAGGGTAAAGTCCTGTAAAGAGTCAACAGTAACCAGAAGCGCCCGTGGTGGCATGCTGGCTGGCTGCATGTCTGCGCAGGCGGGGCCTCTCTGGACTAGAGGAATCTGAGCTATCGCACTATTGCACTACTGAACTGTGTTTCTGCTGCCCGAGCTTGTCAGAGGCCTAGTGAAATCGTAAACAAGATATGAAATAAATGTTACTCAATTTTAATACAGTCTTTTGTATCATACACATCTGTGTGCGGCAGCGAGCCATCCCAGCTTCTTGCCGCAGGAACAGCAGTCGGAGCAGAGGGCTCCATGGCTCGGCCGCCCCACGCAGTCCAGGGACGGAGTATAAGAAGTCCTCCCGCGGTCACACCCCCAGCTTCCTCTTCTGGTGGAAATAGGCATCAAACCTCGCTTGGGCATAGTCCTAGGAGACAGAAGGACATAGCTCAACCCGGGCTCCTGCCTACCCGAATGCTGCTCGGATCCTGCCCAGGAGCCCACCTGTTCTAGAGACATCTTCTCACGCTGCTGGCAGTGTTCACCCCACACCTTCATCTTAAAGGTACCCAGTTTGGTTGCATGGCCCACCTGGCCCCACCACCCAGACAGGACTTTTCCTGGTTCCCCAACTCAATTACCCCAAGTGTTCAAGAAGTCACTGACGGACAAAGGCTCCCCCTTTAAAGCAGAAAGTTCCCAGGTGCTCGCAAGCACAAAATAAAAAAGTCTACTTTGTCTGTGTCATTTGACCATGACTCATATTTGCTTTAAAAATCCAAACTTCCCCTTCGGCCTCAGCACCTGTGCATCCCCTACCCTCTGCCCCTCAGCACCTGTGCATCCCCTAACTTCTGTCTAGAAGCAGAAATTATCCTGATAGAGGATCAAGGAGGAAAATACCACCTGTCCCAAAGCAAGGTGCTCACTCCAGACTTCTGTGTGCCCCGCCCCAGGACACCCACCCACACTCATGGAGGGTACCTACAGTGTCTATGACCGAGACAGCTCTTAAGGTTGGAATAAAATGATAGCCTAACTTGGCACAAACTTGCCTATGAGTAGGATGTCTAACTCAGCACAGCTCCCACCTAAGGTGAGGCTGGAGGCCAGAAAATGGAGTGGTGACAGATGCATCCCACACTCCTACTCTGTCCCTGTGTCATGAGAGACCAAGGTTGGGGGCTAGACCTCTCACGTCTGCATCTCTTCAGCTCCCATCAGAACCAGAGGCCCATACAGCACTTTTCTGATGCAGGGAAGGAGGGCCTGCTGCCCCGGGAGTGAGGCAGCCCCATAGGCACGTAGCCTCCATCAGAGGGGCTTCAATGACAGCCTTTCTGCTACCTTCCCAGCTGAGCCTGCTGTCCGGGTGCCAGGTGCCCTGGTTCAGGCACTTACAGGGAACGGGTAACTCTCTGTAGGGGACCACTTCCACCGGGCATTCACAATAATGTAGCCTTTTCTCCCCGGGAGTAGAAGAGCAAAAGCACCTCCCAAACATACCATGTAGCCAAATTCGATGGATGAAATCTTGGCCTGCACGATGGACCACAGTGCCCAGAAGAAATGGGAGGCAAGGGCAAACCTGTCATTACAGAAGCAGGAAACACAGGTGAGTAAATATGTGGCACCCGTCAGAGGGCCAGGGAGGTCTTTCTGCTAGACGGGCACTCTAGCTCATGTCCATCCATCTGGACGCGAACCGTCTGGGCAAACTCAGTGGGGTTATCTCCCATGGCCAGAGGTGTGAACACGCCAACTGCCTGTCCCTGGCACATGTTAACTGCATTCACAGGGCTCCCCTGGAGGCCTTGGTGGCCATGCCGGTGAAGCCTGGGTGACATTTAAGACACTGTGCTGCCGTGTGTGGGACACAGCATCAGCACCTGCACCACATCACCAGCAAGAGGAGAAACTGCGGGCCTCTGAGCTCACGGCCTGTCCCAGGAGGCAGGGCGATGCCCTCACCCCCTCCTCCCTCACGGAAGCAAAACCAAGCACAGGAGTCTGAGCCAGTGCCCCTCCAGGCTGCGCCATGCCTGTTACAGGAGTCCAAATTCTCACAGTCATACCTCTGGGCCGTGTGCAAATGAACAAAGTGCTAGTCCCAGAACCGGTGCTCTGGCTCCCTCACTAAACCCAGCCCTGTCCTCCCGGCAGTCCCCACTCGCCGCCCCTGGTATCACCCCTTCTGTGTGGGTCTCTCCACTCTCTTCTATTTCCACCTGGTCAAGAACCAGCAAGGGCAGCCTATGCTGCAGGTGGCACCCAGGGGGTGGCGTACTCAGTGAAGGGTGTGGACATGCCTGAACCACAAAGAGGTGACCCGTGAAGTGGGGCAGACAGTACAAAGTGGGCAAAGTTACTATGAAAGTTTCTGAGCTTTGCTTTGAGAGCTGATGAAAAGCAGTTAAAAGCAAGACTCAGAACTAATACACGCAAATGTAATCATTTCCTAGGAGACGTATTATTAGATGGCACCCTCCAGTCCATGAGCCTCAGAGGCGAGAGAGCATTGGCCTGGCTGAGTCTTACGCACGTCCTGCCCTCCTGGGGGCAGACCCTGTTCCCCTGACCTGCTGACACCTGAACACACTCAGCCGAGAGAAGTACCAATGTTCTGTTTTTGACAAAGTATAAGTCCTAGGGATGTGCGTCAAAGGCTCTTAAAGTCCTCCACGGCCAGGAGGCATCCCAACCACATTCTACACAGAGGCAAGCTATCTTCACAAATCAGCAAAGGAAAAAATTTACCTATTGACTTCAACCAGCATTTCTTCTTCTATAATGAACTTTTCTTCATTACTGAGGTTTTCAATTTCATTTAGGGATGCAGCCAAGTAACTGGAAATAAAATGGAGCTAAAAAAAAAAAAAAAAAGGACCAGTGAGGCTAAAAATAGACACTGTCCAAAGCTTGGGTGAAGCACACACATCTAGGTCGCGTCAGAGAAGCCTGCGGAAGCCTGGCATGCCCACCACACTGCCTGCTGCCCAGGGGACTGGAGGCGCCTGTCTGGCAGGAGTCACGGGTACAGTCAGCGTCTAATGGCTCCTGTTGTACTGCCAGCGAGACAGGCACAGGAACTGAAGGCTACTTCTGGAGACAGTAATTTAGCTAGAAGCGTTTTATTCTAACTCACACTCGTGCTTCCCACGGCCTGATCGTAGAGCAGGGGAGCCTATCCCCAAGCGCAGCCACAAGCACGCCAGGCTCGAGGTCCAGGTCCCCAACGCTCCCTCAGAGCGGAGGCCGGACCAGACATGTGAGGCCCCTCTAGGAGGCCGTGGTTATTCACCCACTTACGCTCACACAGGGTGACATCTAAGTTTACCTAAGGTTGTCCCAGGTTGCACATTTATTCCACCTGTCAATTAGGGTTTAGGAGCTCCCTGGTCCTTTTTCTTTCTTTTTTTAAATCCTCACCTGAGGATATTTTTCCATTGCTTTTAGAGAGATTGGAAAGGAGGGGGAGGGTGAGAGGGAAAGAAGGAGAGAGAGAGAGGGAGGGACTGAGGCAGAGAGAGAGAGAGAGAGGAGACACATTAATGGGTTGCCTCCCACCAAACCTGCAACCCAGGTACATGCCCTTGGCGGCCATAGAATTGAACCCATGACCCTTCAGTGCCTGGGCAACACGCTAACCACTGAAAACACCGGCCAGGCCAGGAGCTCCCTGGTTCCTGACTTTCACACTCTATCAAAAGGCAACAGAACACAGCAAAGCAGCGACGCCTTCTTTTGTGCACAAGAAACTGGCCGGTCGGTCATCCTTCCCTCATTCACTGGTTACCTAGTTGGAGGGCCCACACTTCCTCCTCCACCTCCTTTCCCTGTATGGCCTCTTCCACCTTCCTTCCCTAAATCAGCTTTCATATTCCACCACCAAAAAGGATCACTCAAGGTTCAGCGCTGTCCCAGGCAGGGGCTCACAGAGGGGCCTGACACTCTTAAGGAAACCTGGCACAGGAAAGATGAGGTGCCAGGCCCTGGCCACTGTGGCTCAGTTGGTTGGGTGTCCCCCATGCACTGAAAGGCTGCTGGTTGATTTCTGGTCAGGGCACATGCCCAGGTTGTGGTTCCATTTCCAGTAGGGGGCATGCGGGACAATTAGTTTTTAAAACCCATGCTTGAACCACTGCACTAGTAGGATTAATTTCTGGGAGACACTAGATGCTGAAACTGGCAAATGAAGACAGAAAACTTGAGTTGAATTGATTGACACCTTAATGACCCTCCCTCCAAAAAGTCCTAGGCCCAGACTGTTTTGCAAGCAAGGTCTACCCAACTTCCAAAGAACAGGTATCATCTTCATTCTAAACAAACTTATTCCAGAAAATAAAAAGGGAGACTCAGCTCACTTTAAAAGACTACTATAATTGATTCCAAAATATGTAATACTTTAAAAAATGAACATTCAAGACCCATGTGCACAGATGCAGAACTCCTAAAGTAAGATACTGCCTGATTGGACCCACCAGAGCATCACAGTTTATTGCAGAAATTCCAGGAGGTTTTAATGTTTAAAAACATCTCACTAGTGAATTAAAGAGAGAAAAGCATGAGACAGCCTTGATGCATCTATGAGGTAACCAGATAAAGATCAGCACCTTGGTTTCAAAACCTCCCAGAAAACAGGAATAGCACTGCCTTCAGTCCCCACGCTGTGCAGGGCTGGCAGTTACACGCTCTGCCTCCCAGTGCAATGAATTGCCTTTGTGCTGAAGATCTGCCCCGACTGGCAAGAAGGAGCGCACTGGAGACCATGCGGTGTGCTCTCTCCCCCAGGCTTTCTCCCACCCTTCCTTCTCATACAGCACGACCCTGAGGTCCAACCATCCTGGCCACTTCAGACATACTCAAGTTCTTCACAGTCAGCCTTCAAATATGACCAGAAGAGTCCAACTGGCATGGCCCAGTGGTTGAGCATCGACCTATGAACCAGGAGGTCGCAGTTCAATTCTCCATCAAGGCACATGTCTAGGTTATGGGTTGATCCCCAATGTGGGGCCTGCAAGAGGCAGCCAATCAATGATTCTCTCTCATCGTTGATGTTTCTATCTCTCCTTCCCTCTCCTTTCCTCTCTGAAATCAATAAAAATGTATTTAAAAATAATACCTATGGCCAGAAGAGAGCAACAGAGTTTTGGGCAGGAGCTATATTCATCAACAAGCCTGAAGTTGAAAGGCTGCCCATAGCGTCTGCACTACCTACTGAAGGCTATCACCGTGCCTAACTCAGGGGGGTGGGTGCCTAACAAACACCTGCTCAGTGAGCTACGGAAGCAACTGACTGCATCCCTGTCCGCGCCCCCGACCTCTGTGAATGCTTCTGAGCAGGCAGGACGCTCCGGGAGGGCAGGTGTGGAGCTGCCACCTGTGTAAGCTGGGCGAGGCGGGCTTGGTGTACTGCCCCCAGCCCTGCCTGCTTCCACACGCCTACTTATGCTCAACCCAGGCTTCAGTGTTGGGCTGAGGAATGCGAGAGAAGGGTCCCAGGAGGCAATCCCCAGTCACTGGACTCCCGTAACTCAGGACAGGACAGAGAACTGTTAACACGGCAGCAGCTACGACACCGAGACGACCCCTCTCTGCACAACAGGAAACAGATCAGTGATCCCCAAAAGGCAGCCAGAAAGCAGAAGAGAGGCTGCACTTTTTAGAAAAAACTAAAAAGAACTACAAAGGGGGCTGTGATCCTCTCTGACTGAATACCGGTATCTCTGGCACATTGAACTCAACTGTCAAGTTTGTGTCTACATTTAGCGAAAAAAAGAAACATTTAAAGCAAGAGGGTTTGCCTAAGCATTACAGTTTTAAAAAGGTATCTTTCCAAATTGTGATGTAAGCAACACTAACTGCATAAGGCTGCCCTGGGTAATTCACCGACTCCAACGTACACACCCCAGCCTTACCTGCTGCTTCCTGGTGGGGAACTTCCCCAAGTTTGCTCTGAAAAAGGGGTACTTCTCATAGTTATAATCATACATCCACTCACAGAAATGGTTCGCAATGTCGAATCCCCTGAAAAAGAGATCAGAAATGCAGAGAATGAGGCAACTGCCCACACCAAACTCCATGTACAGAGAGAGGCCGAGTGATGAGCATCCCTCCTGGCCACGCACTGGACTTCCTGAGGTCCCAGAAGTACACCTGCTTCAGGGTCAGGGACAGCCAACGGGGCCACTACCAGAACCAAGGAAGCAACAAAGCGCCTCCTGACCTGCCGCTCAGAGCAATTGCTCGAGAGCATTTTCCTGCCATCAGCCCTCTTATGAAAGGAAATAATCTCTGAGCAAAAGGAAGTACCAGATTCTAGATTCTGATCACGCACAGCCCTGCTCCCCTAACAGGAGCTAAGGAGCTAAGGACGGGCTGCACAGCAGTGGTGAGGCCATCCTGCCTGGGGACAGAAAGCATTGCTTCCAGAAGAAACTTTGTAACGTACAATATTGTTACCTATTTTCCCCTATAGGTGTTTCATAAACATATTCAAATAAAATAGTATGGAAGTGCCCTGGCTGGTGATTGAAGGGTCCCGGGTTCGATTCCGGTCAAGGGCACATGCCTGGGTTGTGGGCTCAATCCCCAGTAGGGGGCGTGCAGGAGGCAACCGATCAATGATTCTCTCTCATCATTGATATTTCTCTCTCTTTCCCTCTCCTGTCCTCTCTGAAATCAATAAAAATATATTTTTAAAAAAATAGTATGGAAGTAAAACACCAACACATTGATAATACTATCAATATATTTTATTGATAGTATTATAGATGTCTCCCATTCCTCCCTCTGTTACTTACCTGTAATTATAACTGCTGTATTCAAAGTCGATGAGCATCAGTTTCTGGTTTTCCAAGTTCTCTCTCCCTTCCAGCAATAAGATGTTACCTGCAGAAAGGCATGCATGACATGACTTTTACTCTGGGTAGGTTTCACATTCGAAGGTATAAGTCCTCACACGCTGCCAACACAGGCCAGCTGACCTCCCTCACACACAAAACTGGCTGATGTGTCTACATGTTGCTTGATCAGACTTGGCTGGCAACGATCAGCTAATTACTAAAAGGTACTTTGGCTTACATTAAGGTCTTACTGATGACTTGTCTTCAATAGAGACTGTTCTTAAAATTAAAACGAACTGCTCAGCCTGGCCAAGGGCCCAAAGGTGGACCTCAGGGCAAAGCCACACCACAGCCACAGTCATTACAAGGTGTGAACTAATGTTCCGCAAGGAGGTGGCTTGGATACGCTGCAAGGTGCTGCTGTGGATGGGCTTGGCCCAGGACGGACCGAAGCAGGGGACCTGCCCTGGTTCTGCTCATCCAGGTTAACAGGTCCACCGACAGGCGTCAAACACTGAGACTCAGGAAGGTGAAGGCCTTTATCCCAGCTCCCAATTTAAGTGAATATTCTGATTTTTTTTGAATATATATATTTTTTTTTTACAGAAACGAAATGATATTCTACATGTTTTTCTAAAACTTGCTTTTCTCTCTTAATATATCCTGGAGATTTTTCTATTGGCTTGTATAAAATTCAACCTCTTTTTTTTTTTTGAGAATTTTTATGAATTTATTTGAGCCAAATTCATGACATGCTGAGAAGCAAGATCTCTAATGCTCCCTCTTTCTTTTTAATAGTTACGCAACACTTCAAGTCTGGCTGTGCCTCAAATCCTCTCTCTGCCTGCACACCTGGCATCTGCTACACACCCTGGAGGCTATCTTTTAGTACACACACACACACACACACACACACAATGGGGGCAAGTCTTACCTTCTTGACAGTCATTATGACAAAATACAACTGGAGATGGAGTGGATTCAAGCAATGATCTGGAAAAGGAAGGTTTTGCTATTACTTACCAAACTTTTAAGAAGCCCAATGCAAATAGTCCTGCTGTCTCAGCAAACCCTGCACTGTATTAGTGCTCCAAACAACATGGCCTCTGGGTAATGTCTGTCACTTGTGAAAACTCTGTCCTATGTGGGCCAGGCCCCAGGACAGCCTGTGCTCAGTCTCTCCCTCTCCTTCCCTCCTCTCCCCACCCTCCTCTCTCTCCTCTCCTCACCTCAATTTTGTTTCAGAAAAAAACTACTACCCTGGGTGCACTGCTGCCATAGCCAGCAACCACCCCCGTGGCATTGCACTCCCACCATGAAACCTTTGGTGAACACCAGGAAGTGACATCACTCCTGTAAACTAATGCCAGGTGACAAACCCATTGTTTAAAGCCACCCTGCAAAACAGATGTAAATGCCGGACCTGAGGCAATGCTTAGTTAGCAATTATTGACAGCTGTGTTGGTGACTAAGAAAATTTACATTTCTGGATGCCTACTTCCTATGTCAGGAAATGGATGCACATACTGACCTCAGGTTCTCCAGTTCCAAAGGCAGGTTGTAACTGAGGAATCTGTGGAGCTGCTTCACCTTGGCTCCCTCGGTAAATTTAATTCTCAGCACTTGATTTAGATACCTTGCAAAAAGAGAGAGAACAGAAACGCATTGCTCAACCACCACGCTTGTCCTTGGGCTCTAGTTCAATGTAACCAGCAACGCCAGGGGCACCGGATCTCCATGACAGGGGAAAGGAAAAGGCATGGGATCCAGGGCGCTCTGGAAGCAGACTTCCTGCCCATCCACCGTTCAGTAGCGTTTCCTGGTTCAGGAACTGATTCTGACATGGAAGAAAGACCTACTCGTGAGGCACACACCACCAGCTAACAGCTGCACACCTCTGGCACCACCGGGAGCTGCCAATGTAAAACTAAAGTTAGAGAAAAATGATCTGACCACTTACTTTTCCATTGTTCCAAAAAGCCATTTTGGTTCCTTATTGAATGGCATCTTCATACCATGAAATGTGGCCATTTTCTCAGCTACTTCCGCAGAAATATCTGGCAAACTTAATTCTTCAGTCTCTAATCGCCGGCTCTGAAACAAAAAAGGGTGTTAGAAAATGGCATTTATCCAGGTAACCTAGGAAGTGTGAGCTCCCACAATCTCTAAGGATGAGAAGCCAGGTTTTGTGGGTGTCTAAGTCTCAGCCAATACACAAAACTCCCTTAAGAATGGGCACTGTGCCCAAAGATGGTGACCCACCAATTGCTATGACATTTCTTCTTCTTCTTTTTTATTTTTTTGTTAAATATATTTGTATTTATTTCAAAGAGAGGAAAGGAGAGGGAGACAGAAGCATCAATGATGAGAGAGAATCATCGACGACCTGACTCTTGCATGCCCCTTCCTTGGAATCCAGCCTGCAACCCAGCCATGTGCCCTGACCTAGAATCGAATTGTGACCTCCTGGTTCATAGGTCAACGCTCCACCACTGAGCGACATGGGCCAGGTGCCAGGGCACTTCTTGATGAGGGGCAGGCCACCTTCAAAGGTCGATTTCGTTTGAAATTTTTAAACTGAAAGTTTATTCTCCCACATAATTTGTGACTGCCCTCTGCTGACCCAACACTAAAAGTATGCTCCCTTCTCTAGGCAAAAAACCCAGGCTTTCAGCAGTTTATCAGGTGACCGGCCTCCAGCTCCATCAGCTGGAACAGTCCACTCTGACACATGCAGGTGGTGTGGTGTTCAGCAGTGCTGTAAGCTCAGCTGAGTCCCGTCCCACTATTCACAGTGGGGTCCCCAGCACCTGCCTAGACTGGTACAGAGAAGGCTCTCAAGAAAACATGCGCCCAGCAAGTGGGCCTATCCCCAGCTTTCCTACCACAGCCTGAGGACAAGCGTGTGTGGCTGCTTTTCCACAGCTATTCACAGGAGCTCAGTAACCTAAGACTTGTCTATCTTTCCCACAAGAACTGCTCCCCTATAGAAACCCAGAGACATTTCTCTGAAAGTCCAAAGTGAGGCACGGCTGGCATGACTCAGTGGTTGAGTGTCAACCTATGAAACAAGATTCGATTCCCCATCAGGGCACATGCCTGGGCTGTGGGTTCAATCTCGTGTGAGGTGTGCAGGAAGCAGCTGATCAATGATTCTCTTTCATCAATGATGTTTCTATCTCTCTCTCCCTCTCCCTTCCTCTCTGAAATCAATAAAAATATATTGAAAAGAAAAGGAAGAAAATCCAAAGTGGGATAGCACAGGATAGAGAGTGAGTGTCCCCAAGCTAGAGAAATAGCCACCTGCTCAATTTCTGGCTTCTATACTCATTGCAAAACTACATGGCCAAGGGCACATTACTTATACCTCTGTGCCTCGTTCTCCAGTGTCTGTGAAATGCCAACATGCTGTGAAGTTCCTGACAAAGCTGCTCTGAACTAGCTCAGACAGTGCGGGCGAGTCTCCAGCCGGCACCTAACCAGACAGTTTCAACAAGCCGCAGGTGCCCTATGATTCAGGCCGAGGCCCATCAAGCTCAGTCTCTCTTCAACTCTGGATTCTCCACAAATGACCATGCTGTGGTAGGAACAGGGCACTCAGCTTTTAGTGGCAGGACACGGTGGACTAATTAAGGAAGCTCACTCAGCTTTCTGAGCTGCTAAAAAGTGCTGGTAGCCCTGGCAGGTGTGGCTCAAGGTGCGTCGTCCCTTGTCCCGAAAGGTTGCTGGTTGATTCCAGTCAGAGCACGTGCCTATTTATGGGCTCAATCCCTGGGAGGCATGTGCAGGAGGCAGCCAAATGATGTTCTACTCTCACATCAATGTTTCTCTCTCTCTCTCTCTCTCTCTCTCTCTCTCAAAATCAATTTTAAAAATTAAAATTTAAAAAGAAAGAAAAAGAATTTAAGTCACATTACTATTTCAGACCAGTCGCAAACACATCTTACCGGGATAAACTGCTCCAGGCGGCCTTGCGGAAAGATGCCATAGAGCTTCGGCCCAAGCGACCTCTCTGCAAGAATGGCGAACATGACGCTCTCCAGAACCATGGCCTCAGTGCCCTGAAACATACCAACAAAGCAGACATTATCGAGGGCTGACTTGGGCCAGGCATCAGAGTGCTTTCCCACGAGCAGTGTCACCGGATCCCGCACCAACTCTTAAGATCAGGCATTATTATCACCCATATTTAAATATGAAGAAACAGGTTAACAGATCTGGAAATTTGTAGGATCCATGTTCAAAGCACTATACAGATGAGACTTAAAATTAACTTTAATTAAGGTCGCTGACTCCAAAAATGGAACAATATCTGTCAATCCTTTATTGCTCCTGTTAATTTTAAAGCCTGTGTGAGTCCCACCCTGGGCATCTTGTCCAAGGTCACAGGACCACCATGCTGGTGAGGGTGGACAGTGCCAGATGTAAGCGCAGGGGCCAAAGGCCTGCTGGCTGACCTGGCTGTGTTACAGTGAGCTTCCTAATTGCTCATTCAGACCAGGGGTCTGTTTTCTGGCCCAAAGAGCACCTGAACCTGGAGCATTCAAGGTTTCTATTTTCTGCTATTAACCCCAATCTTCTCCTCTGTCATTTAATATTCCATTTTCTTGCTAAAACATCTATGATGCTCATGTGGTTCTGTCCTAAAAATGAATGTGGATCTATAATCATTTTGCCTTCAAAATTCATGTTTTGGATTCAATTCAAACTCATTCCTTAGTTCTCTTCTCTCAGACAGCAAATTATAGCCTAAGAGTTTCCATCTGTCGGGGTGAAGGAATGGGAACTTAACCAGAGGTGCACCCGAATCTCTTAAAGCTTTTCCAACAGTTGTGTCTGAGGAGACGCCAGCAGGTGTGCTCTGAAAATTCTTTGGGGGAGGGGTTCTACTTCACCTCTTATTAAAAAACATGCTGCTGTGCTTCTGGGACGCCCCAGGACCGGCGCACCAGGTGGACAGCTTCAGACCATGTTGAAGCACCACCCACTCACCTCCACAGAGACACAAGGACAGGCTCAGTGGGCACCACAGCCCCACTGAAGTGTCACAGCCTATCCTTGCAGCCAATTGGCCTCAGGGTAAATCTCTCCCATTGATATGCCAAGAGCAAGTAAGGCTCAACTACAACAGGAGGGTGTGTGTACACATCCCACATGGGGTCGGGGTGGGAGAGGGGTGGGTAGAGAACACCTAGAGTGCCCAAGTCGGGTGAACAGGGAGGCTGTGCCACTGGACCCTACAGGACACCGACTATACTAGTACAAGGCAACTCTACCAAGCCTGGGAGACATAACAGCTGTACCTAATACATAGAAACAAACACAGGGAGGAGAGTAAGAAACATGTGAAAGGACAGAACAAAACTCTAGAAAAAGAACTAAACAAAACGCAGACAAGCAATACTAATACAGAGTTCAAAACACTGGTTATAAGGATGTTCAATGACTTAAGGGAAAAGTAAACAAACTTAGAGAGAACTTCAACAGCATAAAAAAGGACATGGAAACCATAAAAGAGAACCAGTCAGAAATGAAGGATACACTAACTAAAATGAAGAATAATTTACAGGGAATCAACAGTAGGGTAGATGAAGCCAAGAATAAAAACAGCAACTTGGAATATAAAAAAAGCAAAAAACACCCAATCAGAATAGCAAAGGGAAAAAAGAATCCAAAAAAAAAAAATGTGGATAGTGTAAAGGAGCCCTGGCACAACTTCAAATTTGCCAACTTCGCATTATGGAGGTGCTAGAAGGAGAAGAGCAAGAACTTGAAAACCTATTTGAAGAACTGGTTAACTTCCCTAACCAGGTGAAGGAAACAGACATACAAGTCCAGGAAGCACAGAGTCCTATACAACATAAACCTAAAGAGGCCTACACCAAGACACATCATAATTAAAATACAAAAGGTTAAAGACAGAGAGAGAATCTTAAAAGCAGCAAGAGAAAAGCAGTTAGTTATCTATAAGGGAGCTCCCATAGGACGGTTAGCTGATTTCACATCAAAAAGTTTGCAGGCGAGAAGGGACTAGCAAGAAAGACTCAATGTTATGAAAGGCAAGATTACAACCAAGATTACTCTACACAGCAAAGCTATCATTTAGAATGGTAGGACAAATAAAGAGCTTCCCAGACCAGAAAAACCTAAAGGAGTTAGTTCATCACCACCAAACCAGTATTACATGAAATGTTCAGGGTCTTCTTTAAAAAAAAAAATTTTTTTTTTAATTTATTAATTTTAGAGGAAGGCAGGAGGAGGAGAAAGAGAAACATCGAAACATCAATTTGTTGTTCCACTTATTGATGCATTCATTGATTTTTGCATGTGCCCTGACTAGGGATTGAACCTACAACCTTGGCATATTGGGATGATGATCTAACCAACTGAGCTACCCGGCCAGGGCAGAGTCTTCTTTAAGAAGAAAACAAGCTCTGACTAGGTTGCTCAATTAGTTGCAGAGTTGTCCCTTACACTGAAGGGTCATGAATTCGATTCCTGGTCAGGGCACATACCCCTGTTTCAGGTTCCATCATTTCTCTCTCACACCAATGTCTGTCTGTCTGTCTGTCTCTCTCTCTCTCTCTCATTTTCTCCCTCCAAGCTCAATAAGATAAAACAAACAAAAACACACATATCCTTGGGTGAGGATTTTAAAAGAAAGTTCTTTAAATCACACATTACAAAAATGAAGACAAACACATAGGCAATGATGCAAACTAAAATTAGAAGGAAACAAAAAAGAAAAAAATGCTACTTGCAAAGATATGGTGTCAAAATAAAGAAAACAGTAATTCAGTCACTTGTACATTTAGTGGGGGAAGTGGATTTGCTGGTAATCCCCCACAATTCTAGTCCAGGCACCACCACCTTGTGTAATCCCCACAATTTGCCAACTTGCCAATTTGCATTATGGAGGTGCTAGGAGAAGAGCAAGAACTTGAAAACCTATTTGAAGAACTGGTTAACTTCCCTAACCAGGTGAAGGAAACAGACATACAAGTCCAGGAAGCACAGAGTTCTATACAAGATAAACCTAAAGAGGCCTACACCAAGACACATCATAATTAAAATACAAAAGGTTAAACTATGGTCTAACCATCACCTTGTGGGGCCATCTACTTGAGGTTTTATATAAATGACTGCTATAAACCAAACTACACCCTCCTCCAAATTCATACATTGCAGCCATAACCAACCCCCAATCCAATGGTATTTGGGTGGGGCCTTTGGAAGGTGACTGGGTTTAACTGAGGTCATGAGGGTGGAGCCCTAATGGGACCAGTGTTCTTTTTTTTTTTTTTTAATATATTTTATTGATTTTTTTACAGAGAGGAAGGGAGAGAGATAGAGAGTTAGAAACATTGATGAGAGAGAAACATCAATCAGCTGCCTCCTGCACACCCCCTACTGGGGATGTGCCTGCAACCAAGGTACATGCCCTTGACCGGAGTCGAACCTGGGACCCTTCAGTCCACAGGCCATCGCTCTATCCACTGAGCCAAACCGGCTAGGACAGGACCAGTGTTCTTATAAGAAGAGACACCAGAGAATTCTCACTACTTCTCTCTCTCCCTTCACCAAGTGAGGACACAGCGAGAAGCTGGTATCTGGCAAAGCAGGAAGAGGGCTCTCACCAGAACCCGGCATGCAGGCAGGCACCCTGTCCTCCCACCTCCAGCCTCCAAAACTTCGAGAAATCAGTGTCCAGTTGTTTATGCCCCCGGGGAATTTGTTACTACTAAGACAATGACAATAGGTCCATAGGGTTGACCTATCAAAAGTCAATGGATTTTAAAGCAGGATTTGACTGACAATCATTAAACTCTTAATGACTGACAACAAATTCCTGACATCTCTATTTAGCTGGCAAAATGCCTTCACTCACTCATCTGACCCGACAGCAAACCTGTGTGTGGGGGTACAGCACCAGAAACACCCACAGGAGAGTGTACCATGGTCTATAGAGCATCTCTCAAGCTCTCCACCTGAACCTGGGCTCCGCTGCCCCCAGGAAGCAGCAGCCCAGCGCCCCACCCATGCAGGAAGGAAAAAAAGTGAGTGCAGACCCTAACCGGTTTGGCTCAGTGGATAGAGCAATGGCCTGCGGACTGAAGGGTCCCAGGTTCGATTCCGGTCAAGGGCATATACCTTGGTTTCGGGCACATCCCCAGTAGGAGGTGTGCAGGAGGTAGCTGATCAATGTTTCTCTCTCATCAATGTTTCTAACTCTCCATAAAAAAATCAACAAAATATATTTAATAAAAAAAAAAAGTGAGTGCAGGACAAGGAAGCTGACCTCAGCACCCAGACCAGCTGGTCTACCATTAGTGGCTCTTCGCCATCTGTACAGCTCCCAGCCCAAAACTTCAGCCCATTCCCCAGTCATTTCCAAAGAGTACGACTAAGATTTCTTCTGTCTAGGTACCCTGAATTTTGTTGGAATTAAAATTTGTTTTTAAGTGTCCTCTGTTAGAATAACTAAGTTAAAGGTCATTAAGGTTGACACTGAATAAAACACGTTTCTACCTAACCAGTTTGGCTTAGTGGATAGAGCATAGGCCTGCAGACTGAAGGGTCCCGGGTTCGATTCCGGTCAAGGGCATATACCTTGGTTGCGGGCACATCCCCAGTAGGAGGTGTGCAGGAGGCAGCTGATCGATGTTTCTAACACTCTATCCCTCTCCCTTCCTGTCTGTAAAAAATCAATAAAAAAAACTGTAACAAACAACAACAAAAACCCACGTTTCTAATCTAAATGTCCCTTACAGTTTAAAGTTTCAAATTTCATAGATTTAAACCCCACTATTATTTCAGTAATTATTTTTGCACATTGTGTCCACTCAGTGCAAAGGCTTCGGGGAGCTGACTGCAACAGAACACATACAGTCCAGAACCCTCCAGAGTTGAGTCAACCCATTGCCAGAAATGGTGAAGACGGAAAGAGACTTAAGAATGTTCCAACCTCTGTAGCATTGCTCTGAACACTGTAAACAAGAAACATCTTTGTTCTTATGTGATGTTACAGCTCAGTATTTATTCACAGTAGGGAGAAAGGGGAATGGTGTGTGGAGGGAAGAATCTGGAAAGGAAGAAAATGAAAGAAAACACTAAGTCACAAACAAGACAAATGGGTAGTTAATAAGGCTCACAAGTAATTTTACAATGAGTGCATGGATTACAGGTGGTCTTTTTGTAACCACAAGGTCTCCAGGCACCCTGCTGCTTGCTACTCAAGTGACCACCCAAGGAGAAAATGGTAGCAGACTGTGTGAATTCCTAGCAGGGGCCTGGGTGGAGGATAGGAGCTGTGAACCTTTGGCCTGTAGGAGAAATACAAGGACGAGGTTTGGATCAGGTGGCCTGAGGAGAGAGCGCAGCATGGGAAGAGGCCGTGGACCAAACTGTGGAGCGTCCTAGCAGTTAATGCAATAGGACATGAGCCTAGAAGGAAGGAGAGAAGGAAAAGTAGAAGAAAAGAGACAGATTTTTACTTTGTGTCCCAGCTGCCTTAGGGAAGGACACATTTCAAAATAGGTGAGGGCCCTGTTAAATGCTGCTGAGAAGTCAAAGTAATAGAACTGAAAATATACTTTGGACTTAGCATCATGGAGGTCCTAGTGCTCCGACATTTTCAACTACCAGCAGGCACTAAGGTCTACATATAAAGGGCTCTGGTGGGTGAAAACAGAATGTCAATCACTTCCCACCTGGTGACTTCCCAGTCAGTTCTAGATCCTCAGATCAGAGCAGGGTGCAGGTAAAACAACCCACCAGAACACGAGGACTAGCAGCACTTTTATTCCTTTATTATCTCACCTCTTTTTGATGTGTCTTATTTTAATAACTAGTACACAATTTAGTAATTAGAAAAACGAGTGTATTTATATGTGTACAGATACATACATACATACATACATGTGTGTTGTGTGTATGTGCACACTTGTGCGCACACACTCCTTATATACAAACTTGGGAGAGTATGCTCAAATAGAAAAACGAGTGTATTTATATGTGTACAGATACATACATACATACATACATGTGTGTTGTGTGTATGTGCACACTTGTGCGCACACACTCCTTATATACAAACTTGGGAGAGTATGCTCAAAAGTTGTTTCCTCCCTGGAGTGTGGAGGTAACTGCTCCAGTCTCCCCACTTCTGAGCCCCAAAGAGAGGACAGGATGACATCAGTGCTCTTGACCTTAAGCTCTTTTCAATTTATACATTTCAGAACGTGGGGGCATTCTAACTCAAATCTTGTAATTGAGGGAGACACCTTTCTACCTGGGTACCTTGCATAAGTAAAAACACTCCTACCTGCCCGGGGAAGAGGCCACTGAAACAACTGGGCAGTGGTGACGCGACACAGCAGTGAAATCCAGGAGGCCTCCACCAGAGTATCATGCACAAATGTTACCTCAAACTGCCATCTCTTAGTCCCCCAAAATGCTCTTCAGGTCACCCAAAAGACACCAAACATGCACTACCTCAGTAGGAACTGGAAACACCCACTGTCCTCTCAGGCTTACTGAGGTGGCTCCCATACACCAAGAGCCCATCCTCTATGACAGACAGACAACTAGGGTCCTTCAGATACTGCCCCACCAGAGTGGCCACAGTCGGCTAACATGGTTACACCTCACACAGATGCAGAATGGATTTCATTACTTACTTGAAATTCATTTTCATTCTGAGCTTGTTCGGATCCCTCCTTATTACAGGACCTCTATGAATGAGAAAAAGTAAACACTTCCGGTGAGATGGGGAACAATCAGCAGACGCTAACTTTGCAACCACCAGAACAGCCATGGGTAACAAAACATCACAGATTTTTAAAGAGTGTTTCTCAGTCCACTGATGTCTAAACTGCACCACCAGTGTCCAGCACTAGTACCAACACCCGAAGAAGCGCTTCATTTCTTTACAGGAAAGGGATGTGCTGTTGAAACCAAGCAGCTGTGATTCTCAATCACTCTGGTGTACCACTTCACAATTTCATTGCTGGAGGAAAGGCAACAGAGGGCGCTCTTCCAACGAGGCCTTCCATAGACACATGGTCAAGCTGAGTCTGCCCTATTTAGCCAGGTGGCTCTTTACCTGGAGAAAGGCCTTCTTTCGGCAAGAACAGGGAGCACACACATGCCTGTGCAAGTGTGGTCAGCACAGAACTCACAGTTCAGAAGAAAGCCCTGTGCAGGCAGGTGACCTGGCACAGAAACTGTGCGGATGAGCCTGCCAACTTGGTACTTTCGGACTAACTCCGCTTGTTCCTCTCATTATAAATTTGTCCTCCACCAAGAAGAGGTTTGTGCAAAAAAAGTCTCTAAACTTATTTCACATATTAACATATAAAGGAATATTTTCACATCACTTTCCGCAATGAAATTGCAAATGACTGGTAACCAGGATTCTAGCAATAACAACAACTAGATCATGAACCACCATCTTCCACTCTGGCTACATTCTTTCTTCATGGCCCGGACCATTTCTTCTCAAAGCAACCCCCACCCCAAGTGCTTTAAAACCTTCCTACTATCTTCTAGCCAGGGCCTGGGGAAGCAAGTCAGAAACTTAAGTGTCACGTCAAAAGTCTATACTCAAATATTGCCTCTAAAAATATATTGTTAAAATTAAACTAAAGTCTGCTTATGTCAGACACAGAAGGAAGCCCATAAAGGAAGCTCTTTAAAAAGTTAAGGTAAAAGATTCTTGAACACCCCATGAAAAACATACCTTTCCATTCCACAGCTTTATCAAAAACACCTGTACCAAGGGTAGACAGTGTGGACAGGAAAAAAATGCCACGTTAAGCAACACCAGCTACTCTAGCACCATTCAAAAAACCTAGGGATTTAAAGCAACAATCCCATCCATCATACACAGAAGCAACATTCCACAGACGTTTTAACATGTTTTGTATAAACAGTATATGTTCTAGCTTACTGAACATAAAACTAAACAAAATAAATATTCATGTGCATGAAGCTATCTGCAAAGACCTGCACTTACATATACTCGATAGTGTATTTACCATACAGTTAAGCACATTTTGTATAAAGTACAGAAAATACAAATGGGATATAAAACGTTTTGTGTAATTTGCATCTCTCTGATGAAAAGGTGGTACAGGTTAAATCCCGTTACAATGAAAATACTATTTCAGAAATACTTTTAGACCTCTGCTGATGGCTAGGCGTACGATGTGATAAATCTTAGGAGGGAGTAATTAGGTATCATGAAAGCTTTAATCTAAAATACTCTCATGATTATGCTGTTACCTTAGACTTGGTCTCCTCTCCCCAGCAGCCTACAAGGTACTTATGAATATGGACTCCATCTTTGATTTACATCTTTCCCAAAAGCACCAAGTAAATCTTGGTGCTTAAACACTTTTTGGATGGCATGAATAAATGAAGTTTACTCTGGCACCATGAAGTTCAAGGTGGCTAGCTCAAGGTGCAACCTAGGGTGATGAGCTGACAGTTACGGCAAACTCACATCCATGATTCCAGCAGTGGGAACACTGGCTACAGTGTTAATTGGAACACTGAATGGGGCGGAAATGTCCCCAAAACATTATATTCTTTTGCTTTTTCTCCCCAAGTAAAGTTAAGTGTAAAAGAAATTCTATTATCTGATATAGCTGATACTTTGTAGGGAAAGCTTCAAGACAAATAAGGAACTTGGATATCTTACTGAAATTTGTTGTAACTGGATTTGACCTGTACAGAGTTCTAAATGACTATGGTTATTCCTAGGCTGTTATTACTCAAACTGTATCTTCTTAGAGAGATACAGTTAATGGGTTATTAAGTCAACAGAAGTCCCTTTTCCTTGTCTAATGGTGCTCTCAAAAGCAAGTGACTTCATCCAAAGTTAGAATTGGTTTAGTTCCCAAGGCCATGACTTTTGAACATATTAGCAACCATTAAGTGAAAATAACTTTCCCACCCTGCCCACCCCAGTCCACCCCCAAATGCATGCATTACTTCTGCCATAAGAGCACCATCATGAAGGTAAGATGGACTTCTGCTATAGTCAACCTTCGGTTCTGTTTCCTCAGTACAGAATGCTCAGGTTCCCTCAAACCTGGGAATGAATCCAGGAAACCTCAAAACAAGAAGATATTCATGAAAAGGTGAGAGAAGAGGCCTCCTCCTGAGTTAAGCCAAGAAGAGAGATTTACACTGCCAAAAGGTCAGAGACACTTCTGTCCTGGAAGACAGTAAGTAAAATATATCTTGGAATCTGTGGGATTTTACTTCAGAGGAACAAATTTATCTGAAGAAGATATCAAATATATTGTAAAAAATTTAACATACTTCAAATTTTTTGCCAGCCTGCACATTCATAAAAATTAGCTTTCACAGCTATAAAAAAAAAGCTGAAAATTTTTATATTTATTAAAAATTTGAACACTGACTGGTTATTTAATATCAAATAATTACTAAGATTTTTTTTAATGTGAACATTATTCTGATCTTTTAAAAAATCACTTTAGATACAGACTGAAACATTCATGGAAGAAATAGTATGGTGTCTGGAATTTCCTTCAGAATAACCCTGGAGAATGAATGTGGGCAAAGAGGAAAGAAGACTGGTCAGAAGGAAAGATATATGTTGGGCACTTGGGTTTCATTATATTCTTCTGGTCAATTTTTGCTACATCTGAAATTTTCCATAATAAAAAGTTTATAAAAGAAACAATGAAATTTTAAGACTTAAGAAGTCATAATGCATCAAATAGACACCTAATTTTATGAATATACTAAAAACCACTGAATTGTACACTTTAAATGGGATAAAGATGTTACTACAAAAAAAGAAGACACCCAGCGATAATTAAAAATGTACTGCCACTGGCTTCCTTCCATCTTTCTCATTCTTTTCTTCCTATTTTTGTTTTCAGAGAATCTATTCATTATAATCCATGTATTCATTAGACTGTGATGTAGGAAATAAAAGACTAAAGTGGTAGCAATAATAATAAAGAGGTATGGTTTACATTTTGCTTTAATATTATAGAAGATTTTAAAAGCTGAAAGAGATTTTGATTGGCCAAGAATATTTAAATTTAAAACCCAAATTCCTAAAAGTCTAAATTCTAAGATGAGAGGATAAAGGACTTTCACTTTCTTTTGGGGGGGGGGGGTTGTTTTGTTAAGCCTCACTCGAGGATATTTTTCCATTGATTTTTAGAGAGAGTGGAAGTGAGGGGCAGAGACAGAGAGAGAAAAACATCAATGTGAGAGAGAGACATTGATTGATTGCCTCCCGCACATGCCCCAACCAGGGCCGGGGATCAAACCTGCAACTGAGGTATGTGCCTTGACCAGAAATTGAACCCGGGACCCTTAAATCTACAGGCTGACACTCTATCCACTGAGCCAAATCAGCTAGGGCAGGACTTCCATTTTTTACTTTACATACTTCCATACCTCAAAAAGTGTTTAAAAGTATATGTTACTTTTATAATAAATATATTTGGTTCAAGGTTTCCAATGTTGCTTTTTCTGACAAAATCACATTTAAAAGGCTTTTGAATTTTAAAGACGACCATGAAAAAAGTAAATGTTCATATTACAGGTTATTAGTTTTCAAAATGTTCTATTTAGTGATTTGCAGAGATAAAAATCCATTGGTAATAAAACATCTTTAGGAGCTGGGATAAGAAAATACCACTTGATTGAATTGTCATATATAATTTTAGTGTTCAAAAATGTCCTACTTTAAGTTACTTAATGTCTCACAATCTAATCAGTTTATTTCTTTAAATTTGTTTAAGCCATTGGGCAAGACTAGCTCTTATCAGGGGCCAGTTCTTAATAAAAGGTTCCTCTAATGATGAGGGAATCAGCTTTATGACTAGACTACTTTAATACAACCACAACATTTGTGAGACTAAACCAAGCAGCACGTGCTTTTCCCCAGAGTCTGTGTATGTGTGTCTATAAATAAATTAGTCCCAGTGGCATGAAGTGGCATACAGCTATCCAAATGTCATTTGTACTACCTGAAACATTTATCTTCAAAATATCTTTAAAGATCCAATACTGCTGAGCGGCTGGCGGGGCAGGCTGGGAGAAGTGATGAGTCAACTACAAAGAAGGACATGTCATTCAATAGTGTAATAAACTCAAAATGCTACCTAAGAAATCAAATCATCATCAATTATAGATAATGTCATAAGGAGGTAGCCACTATGTTAAATACAATGGTGGCTACAGAGATTTTTTTTAGATACAAATAAAAGTGTTTTTATAGAAACATGGAGGACATTCTCTTCTTCCCAACAGCTCGTCCCCATCAAAAAATAACTAAATGGACTGTCTCTTTCAAAGACTGTCGCAATATGATAAAGTAGTTGGTTGTGGCCTTTAAAAATGCTTTGGACCCCTAGCCGGTTTGGCTCAGTGGATAGAGCATCAGCCTGCGGACTGAAAGGTCCCAGGTTTGCTTTCAGTCAAGGGCACATGCCCAGGTTGTGGGCTCGATTCCCAGTAGGGGGGCATGCAGGAGGCAGCCGATCAATGATTCTCTCTGATGTTTCTATCTCTCTCTCCCTCTCCTCTCTGAAATCAATAAAAATATATTTTTTAAAAAGTGCTTTGGAATCCAGAAATGAGTGAATAAGAAAGAATAATCCAAATGTTAGCTAGACTCAACCTCTAGGGCATCTAAGATGTGGTCCAGGAAAATCCTCTCTCTCCATTGACCTGGGATTACACTTGAGAGCTGAGTCCTGACCCACACCCAGTCTCTCATATTCATCCTGACAATAACAGTTGTTCATCCTCTTCTGAATGCTCAGTAACACTGGACCTGGAATGACATGGGCTTTACTGTGCAGCCTGCAGCTCTGAAGACTTCTAAGATTCACCCTGGTTTCTGACCACACTCAATTCTCCAGGAGAGAACAGATTCTCAGCACAGGGATGGCACCTGTCACCACGCCTATTAATGATGGGACTGGATTCCTCTCTGCTGAGCTGGGGTGGAAAAAGCTTGAGAATCTTAACTCCACAGAAGGTACAGCAGTCATGCGGCTGTTTCCATTATAATTCTGCAGCACGCTTTCTTCTTAATGTTACCATGGACCCTAACCTTACTTCTCCAGGATTTCTAGGAGTTTTTCACTGTAATTATATTTTTTATGTAAATTATTGCTTTTATGGTTTCTTACAGCATTTCCTGAAAATATTTTACAGAACATATTTAAATGTTAGATGACAATGCCATGATTTAAAATAGAGCCTATGTGATTATTTAATGAGCACATATGAATTATGAGAATTTAGACAGACAAGTAAGTTGTAATATTTTGCGGTAGTCTCTAGAGTATCTTCAATTATCCCAAGGAACATTCTTGGGAATTTTGTAAAATTGGGTGACTTGATGAACATCACAGGAGACTAGAACTTCTACGGACTAAGCCAATAAAGATAGGTGAGCAGCTCTTGGTAAAGAAGGCTCCTTTCAGGACCTTCCCAAAATGTATGTCTGACCCAGGGTAATCAGCTGCCCCAGGACTCCTGAGGCATCGGAGGTGAAAGTACCTTCGGCATAAACAGCCCAAGGGTTGACGTGGAAGCAACCTGTTTCCAGGGAGAGAGAGTGCCCTGGCTCCTCAGGCCTGTGTATGCTTCCACACCGGATCAGCATTGCTGAGCTTGAGAAAGCTACCAGGGACCCACCAAAGGCAGGAAAAAGGATACTAGCTGATCAGACAAGGAAGAAAGTTTGTTTCCAACTCTGACCAAAACCTCAATACAATGCTGGAAGTGATATGAAGGAAGAAGGTTAACACTTCAATTGATTTCTCAGGTTGAGGCCCATAAATTTCTAAAATAACTGAATGTCTGTCATTTTCTACTGAGGAAACAGAAGAAGGGGATCTGATTTACCTAGGACAAAAACAAAGCAAAACCCCTCAAAAAACAAAAAGTGGAATATTCAATATATAATATTCTGACATCTTAATCACTGAACCTGTTTAAACACAGCACAAACTGTAGCTGGTGCTACTTAACAAAAGCATTACAACTTTCTTTTTAAAAAGCATTTCTTGAAACCAAGAACTAAAAGAAGGAAATTAAAGCTGTAGAGAATGCTCCAACTTCAGAGGACTCATACTATACCGTGAATCGTGTCTGTCACCTGGAAACCAGAGTGCTCCAGGCACGATCGCATGGACAAGCCTGCAGCAGAGAACACATGCACATACAGCTAAAGTGGTACATTACCCCCAATGCCCTCATGCCACCCAACACAAAGACATTCCTTCCCAAGAGGGGTGGGCTGCGGTCACATCATCGTTCCAGGGGCCAGAAATCTGTATTGGTTTCATGCTATAAATCTCAAACACGATTTAAGACCAACAAGACAAAGACACTTTGTATATGTCAAAATTAGACACAGTTGTGTGTGGTTTACTTAGTTATCAAAAGAAGGCACCAAAGCAGGTATGGAAGGACTACAGATCATAATTTGGTGACTATCTTTGTCGAGTTGTAGCTAAAAGAAATACTAGGTGGACCAAATGGGAATACAAAAGTAGAAAAGTTTGATTTCTGAGAGGGAAGTTTGACTACCTTAGATACAGATATAATTACAGCATACTCAAAGTACAGTGGAATTTGTTATTTTAAAGCAGAATAAACAACACAACTTAAACTCATGATAACCTAATATAATGAGAAAAATATATAGAATTCAGAGTATTCAGTTACCAGGGACATGGCTTTCAGTCACTTGGGACAAAGTGGGCTCTTTGTGAAGGGGCCTCAGTCATACTGTCTGCACAGTAAAGGTGACCTTAGTTGCAAAGAGAAATGTCCCATTTCTCAGGAGCCAATAGTTTACTAATAACTATCTCTGCGCTGTTCTATATTTTATTGTGGGTTAATTTTTAATTAAACTGGGGTTAAGAGGAAACCGGGAAGAGCACATTTTGTTTTCTGCATTCAAAAAAGACCATGTACCAAATTTTAATCTTCAGAATCACTAACACATATCTGCGTTGTGCCTTGATACCTTTAATTGTATTATGGTTAGTACTCAAACAAGCACTAATATTAGCTTTCTATTACTCAAAAAAACAAAACATTTCCCAGACAACACTCGAGAGATCTTTGATGTATATTATAAACATCCATGCCTGTGAGACCGTACAAAAATGGTGAGGCCAAATCTCTCTATTCATGCACAGGAGGGATTGGCTCAACAGTCACTGTTCTGACAGAGGAAGGGACAAAGCAATCCTCTGAGACTTCCGCCAACTGGCACAGGTTACACTGAATGAACAATACGTACTGACATTTGTGTCTTCCACAATTCATGATAAATAAGCAAACTGGTTATTTGTAATCAGCCAAACTTGCTTCTTTGAAAAGGCTGCTACTGGACGCTGCAGAGCTCATGTTCCTTCCCAGTATCAGAAAGGAAAAAAATCAAGTTACATTTATAGCTAATTTTATCATGTCAAGCTCTTTTCTAGCAATGACATTTCTTACCACAATGGCAAAAGTTAAACTAGTACTTCTTCTCAAAACTCCTATTAAACCCAAAACAAAACAAAAAACTCCTATTAAACCATCCTACTTTAAGGTAGGGGCAATTTTATAGTTGAATTCAGTTTTCATCGACTACACAGCGAATGTAAATAACCTCCTCTGCATTAAAATTAAAATTAATATTAGAGCTAGTCTGTGAAATAGACACTAAATTATATTGACATGTTATATTTTAAGATTACACCAATATTTTTGTTTAATAATTTTCTATAAATAATATTGTACAGCTGTTTTTCAAAGCTGTGTTTCTTTTATTTATATTCTCGAATGGACACATTCTTTCCCTTGTCTAACACAGGACTTTTAATAAGCCCCTTTTAAGGGACACAAATCCTAAATAAGGCCTCCAGGACACAATTAGGAAGTCTGCTTATAGCTCATCTTATATAAAATTAAGGGACAAAAACTGGGCCTTAGACCAATTGGAAGGTTTTACCTTGGCTTTCTGCTACTTAACCCTTAGTGAACTGCACCAAACAGGAGCCATTTCCCTGCCACTATGGAAATAAAGGAAGTTAGACATCTCACAACACCAAGGTACGGAAAAACAAAAAAGTTGAGAAATATCTCATTATTTCAAACCAAGTCATTTGTAAATGACTATAAATATAAATCAAAGAATTATTTCTATTTAATATTTTATTCTCACAGAGATTAAAAATGTCAAAAGCTTAAAACAAGGAGAAAGGGGGAAAAGGAACACACTAAACTAAACTAGTCGTTCATATAATTAAGCAAAACAGCAAAGTATTATGAGAAAATACATATTATGTACAGTCATCAATTAAGATATTTAAAGGAAGGAGCTTATTTTAACCCACCTCAAAAGGATGCTACAACTGCATTTATATAGCCGATTTAGGTTATACCAATTATATTTCTATAAATGCACAATCATGTGTAGAGATGTGTGTGCTTTCATCTAACATAAAGTAAAAAAGGCAAGTATAATATTTGCACTGTACTACATTTAACTCTGCCTTCAGCTATATATCTTAATGCCAATCCTGACAAGTTACTGTCAATTTTGGCAATTTTGTTGTTTTGGGAACAAAAGTGTCATTGTAGATTGTAAATATCTCTCCTTCCCTTATAGGCCAGATTCAAAGAGTTTATAAGATATCAGAAAATTTTTAACTGAGTTGAAAATATTTGGAAAAGAATTTACATTCATGATAAAAACCCTGACAGTGTTGTGAAAGCTCAGCTTTTAAAGCACATGACAACTGCTGCCTGGCTCGCCTCTTTCTGGTCCTCAGTCTACCTCTCCTTTCCTTCTCTCTTACCGTGGTCTTGTCTGGGAGTCCCTGCATTTCCCCTCCTAGTGTTGTCAAAAGTAGTCTTAATGTCTGAAAGTCTAACTGGCAACAAGTGCCCCTGATAAATCCTGAAGAACCTGGGGACCAAAAATATTTAAATTTGAAGCTGTAGGTTTCATAGTTTTACTAGGTTCAAACTTCAATTTCTAAAAAAAAGGATACTTGAACTAAGGACTCAATCGAATAATTATGCTGAAAATAGGTTCCCACCTATGAGGCAAAGAAACAGTTTTTCCCCCCAAGAAAAATGAGTTTATTGTCTAGTAAGTAAGTCAATCATGAGACAGTCCACACTGGCTTATTACCCACCCTGTCAGCTACTCGTTTCCTTCTGTGCCCAACATGCTCCAGGCATAGTTTCCAGCTGTCATCAGTAGATGCAGTTTCAGAAATGGAAACTAAACTTGTCTAATAAAAATATAATCCAGAAACTAAATGCAGAGTATCCCCCTACCAATTAGAACTGTATGTAAAATATATTCCATTCTATTAGTTTGGTAAGAGTTAATTCCATGTTAAGTGGCTTCAATTATTCTGCTATTTATTTTCAGAGTTACCCAATAGTCTATTTTTCCCCTTAAAAACAAATAGGAACATAGAATTCTGTTAAAACAAATTCTATTTCCAGACATTTCTATTGTACTTAAGTACTTACTATAAGGTAATAATTCTAGGCTGCTAAAAAATTTAAAAGGACAACATACTAACTACTGAGAGTGAATCTCTGTTAGGGAAAGTCACAGGCTGTGTTGTAGCTGGCTCTTACTAAGTGACCTCCCAGTAAGGCAGCATGTTCTAGAGCTGTGCTGTCTGATGCAGTAGCAACCAGCTACATGTGACTACTTCCATTTAAGTTAATTAACATTAAATACAATTTAAAAGTTCATTTCTTGGCTGTACTTGGCACATTTTAAGCATTAAATTAGCCACATGCAGCTGGTGACCAGCATCCTGGACAATACAGATCCAGAGCATCTGCCTCACCTCCATCATCACATCTCTGCTCTAGACAGAGCACAGGGCCTGCCACCCCGCTTAGTCTAGCATCTAGAGGAGTGCGGAATGCATATTTATTTATTTTAATTATTCTTTTTATTGGTTTGGGAGAAAAACAGCACTTTGTTGTTCCACTTATTTATGCATTCATTGGTTGCTTCTTGTATGTGCCCTGACCAGCGATCAAACCCATACCTTGTTGTTTCGGGATGATGCTCCAACCAACTGAGCTAGCCTGCCAGGGTCTAGGAGTACACATTTAAAACATTCCTATTTAAATTATAAATATAAATGAAAGCCTCATAAATCAGATTTAAACAATAGTCTTCTATCACATGCAATTCTAATAGCTGGTTATTAAAGTGTTTTAAAACTATTGCTTAAATCAAAGCACACAAAAACAAACAGAAATGGGGTTTGTTACAGAATGGAAAAGTCCTCAAATATAGTGGCTAAAGACTGACTTTATTAAAAGGGCCGAAAGGACATCAATTGGGTATTTCAAAAACTGTGATTTGAAATTGCAACTTGATTAGATTAAAAAAACAAACTGCCTGGCAAACACAAAAATCTTTTCTGCTTGTGCATTGTCAGGGTCAAGGTCAGCTGCAATTCAGCTGTATATACCTAACTGTAAATGGCCTCAGATTTCCTCAGCAAAGTGCACACAATCTCACAGCAGACTAACTTGTTTCCAGCTCTTTCAAATCCTAACCACTTTCACAGCTTGTCAGGGTCAAGGAAAAATTATCCAGTGAAAAGATTCAGTCAAATTATGACAAATTTTTAATGAATTAACATATAGAGTGCCAATCTTAAGTATTAATATTTCTAAACATAATCGAATTATCATAGACATGGACATAACCTGCTTTTTAGATTGAGCTGAGACTAGTGTTTTAAAAATTAAGTCAGAAAACTATTCTCCATTTTATAAAGATAAAAAATGGGCCCTTCCAAAGAGGATTTAAATGAGTATCAAAATTCTACCACAGAAATACACCCACCAAACATTTGTCTATGTGGTCAGTAAAATGGTCAACTCACGGTATTAAAAATAGTTTTACAAACCCAGACATTTGGGATATCCTATAATAGATTAAGACAATTCAACAAATAAGGTACTTTAATTAAAATTAGATTCAATTATTTAAGTAATATAAAAATTAGGAAAGATTGTAAATCTAACAAATTTAAAGTTTTAAAGAAATCTCCAAGGAGGCAGTTAATAAATTCTACTTCCCTGAGGTCAACTCTGTCCACTGGGACCACCCTGTAAAGCCTGTGATCATGCTATAAAAACAACTTCTCCACATCAGAAGTTCACAACCTAAGTCTGAGCTGAAAACCCCGAGCATCATCAGGCACTCTTTAAGATTTAACCAACATTATACTTCCTGTGGACATAAAGCTAGGAATGTTTGCACTAGTTTCCTAATAAATAATAAGTAAAAACAGGAATTCACTTAGAATAGAAACAAAAGCCAAGTTGTACAGCCCAATTAAAATAAAAGTAATATATTTAAATAGCTTTAGTAACACTACTAAAACATTTAAAATCTCTTCCCAGGTAGTTTAGGAAAGACAATTAAAACTGTTAACAGGTCCCTCCCGTCCCTAAGTAGCCCAGGAACTCACCATCTTTAAAATCGCACCATACAGCCGTAGGAGCACTTTCCGAGGCTCGTCACCAACGGTGGCCACAGTGTCAGGTAAGGAGCACAGGAACAGCATGTTACTGAGGCCACCTCTGTGAGAAATAAGAGGATGGTAAATACCTGTATTCTGAAGGTCAACTAAGTCACTCTCCTTGGATAACTATGATGGATGGGAAGTGAGGACCCCACAAGCATTGTTCTAAGTCTTCATTCATTCTCTCACGATACTTGCAACATAAATGATTAACTCCACAATTTTCAGATCAATTCCATGATTCAAAACTAGAGGCCCGGTGCACGAATTTGTGCACCAGTGGGGTCCCTTGGCTCGGCCTGCGGGATCAGGCCAAAACTGGCTCTCTGACATCCCAAGAGGTCCCAGATTGCAATAGGGCACAGGCCAGGCTGAGGGACCCCACAGCCACACAATGGGGGCCAGGGAGGGACGTGGGAGGTTGGCCAGATGGGGGGGGACCACAGGAGGGCTCCAGGACATGAACGGCCCAGCCCGTCTTGCCCAGTCCTAATCGGCCCGACTCCAGCGGCAAGCTAACCTTCCGGTCAGAACGTCTGCCCCTTGGTGGTCAGTGCATGTCATAGCGAGCGGTTGAGCGGCCTTAGTGTATCATTAGCATATTACACTTTGGTTGAACAGACGAAATTAGGCTTTTATTATATAGGATAGGCAAACCCTTCCCAGTCAATGGGGGCTCACTGGTCGAGTGTCAACCTATGAACCAGGAGGTCATGGTTCAATTCCCAGTCAGAGCACATGACCGGGCTATGGGCTAGATTCCCAGTACAGGGGGTAGTCCATTGATGATTTTTCTCTCATCACTGATTTTTCTCTCTCTTCTCTCTCTCCCTTCTTCTCTGGAAAAACAACAACAACAAAAAACAGGCAAATCCCCCAATCTGTCCTTCTAGATTAGCACTGGGGGAGAGGTTTTTTTTTAATCACATGTGTGCCCCACACATGGCACTGGCCTCTGGAGAATGACAAGGACCAGGAGTACTCTCTCCAGCACTGGCAATGGGGGAATCCCAGATGCAGTCCTTCAACCCCACATTCTTTTATGATTCCAAACCTCCATTATAGCAGATTCCATTTCCTCCAGAACTTTCCATTTGAAGTACAGTTCCAAGATCTACCTCTTCCATGCCCATGTCAGTAAAAATTTCTCAACCAATTTTTTAAAAAATACATTTCATTGATTTTTCAGAGAGAGGAAGGGAGAGGG